ATATATATATATATAATTGTATTTAAATAATCTATTATTATATTATTTATACATATTAAAATATATTTTTATATATAAAATTTTATTATCTAATTTTTCTTTTATAACAATTTAATAAATTATTATATTAAATTTATGAATTTTTATAAATTAAATTCATATAATTAATTTATATTATTAAATTATTATTTTTTTTTTAATATATACTATTTAATATTTATATATATCAAATACTTTTATATTTATTTTATAACTTTTTTATATATTTATATATTCATTTTTTATTTTATTTTTTACATTAATATTATAAATATATAATATTTATTTTTTTAATTTATATTGTATTTAATAAAGAATTTATATTTATAATTATTTTTAATAATTAATTTTTTATATTTTAATTTTTACGTATTTATAATTTAATATAAATTTTTAAAAACATATATAATTTTTTCGATTTTTTATTAATAATTTATAAAATTTATTTTTATTTTATTAGAAAATATTTTTATAAAATTTATAAATTTTAACTTTTATTTTTAATTTATATATAAATATTTTGCAAATTTTTATATAATATTTTATTTATTTTCTGTTTTAAATATAAATACTAATATTTATTATATATTAATTATTAATTTTTTGTTTTTTTTATTTTTTATTTTTATTTCAATTATAATATTTTAATTCTTTAACTTTAGGATTAACACTGAACCAAAAGAGATCTATTTTAGATTTTTTTCTTTCCATAAACTACTCTTTTAATCTTTTAAATAATTTAAGCATACTTTTTTTTTATTTAATTAAGATAAAATTAATAATAGTTTTTTATTTATAAAAACGTACACAAATATATAATAAATCGATTAAGCAGATAATCCAATGCATAAAATTTTCAAAATAAAAGGAAAAAATTGAGATATTATACAATGATATACATATACTGGTACACATATACCTCTTGAAACTATATAAAATGCTTATTTTTTATTTTAAATAAACTTAAATCTAATTATTTATTTTACAAATAAAATGGTATTCTAAAAATTAATAAAGTTTTGTATGTTTTAATCCTAATTATTTAACAATAAGTCTAAAATTCATTGACCAATTAGTAACTTCAGCAAATATTAAAGCCCCTATATATATAAACAAATATATAAAAAATAATACTTAAATTTAATATATAATAATTTTTAAAAATAATATTTTATTATATTCTATTTTATTTATAATGAAGTTAAAATTTTTTAAAAAAATCAATAAAATATAATACAATTATAAGAAAAATTATCAATTTACTTTAATATAATTTTTTTTTTATGTGTGTTTTTTTTAATATAATAAAATTTATCTATTTGATTTTTTTTTTATTTTTAGATTATAAAATAAAATTTACAAAGTGATTCTGTTCCTCCATATTAGTAAACTATTGAAACCAAATAAGAAATTTGAACGACCACATGATGTATTAAAATTCCTTTATCATGAATATTATAATAAATCATGGCAAATGTATCGTAAAAAAAATACCCAGCTGATTATATAAAAATAAAATTTTAAAAATTAGTATTTTTTCCATCAAGTTAATCTTAATTATAAATTATGCTATATAAACTTAAATAAAATGCAGTTAATCCATGAGCCACTGAAATTATTCTATTTTTTATATCATATTCACTTTTTTTTGGTAAATGACTTAAATTTAAAGATTAATTAGCTATTATATATAATCCAGTCCAAAAAATAATACTAAAAATATATAATTGTAATTGATCATATATAGAGAATATTAAATCAAGTTTAATGTTAATCATTTTAAATTGATTATTAAATATTTATTATTAATAGATTTTTTTTTTATAATATAATCAATTATTATATAACTTAAAATAATATAATGTATTAAAGTATTTAATATTTAGTTTTTAATAAGAAAAAATGTAAAAAATTATATTTATATCAATTGAATTTGTTATTTTTTTATATTTTTTTTTGAGCAATGATTTTTGTTTTAAATATATATTATTAATTATTTAATTTAAAAAGGAAATATTAAGAAAATTCTCACTTATATAAATTTATGTATTAAAATGTTTTTTAATTAAAATTTACAAAAGATTAAAAAAGTATTATTTTTATTTATTTTTTTATTTAAAATATCTTACTCAAGTGTTATTTTTTTTGATTTCTTATAATTCAGAATAAACACATTTTATTTTATTTTATTCTTTAATATAGTTAAATTAAAGTTATGTTAAAAATATAATTTAAAACATAAAATTAAAATAATTAAATAAATTTAACAAATAAAATAATATTTAATTGCTCTATAATTTTGAATTCATAGCATTTACAATAAAAAATAAAACAAAGATTAAAATAATATAAATTATATATACAATTGTTTAATTTTTTTTCAATATTATTTTTAATTAAATTTATATATATATATAATTATAAAAACATATTTTAACATTAATTTTTTATTAAATTTATTAAATAAATATTAGAAAATATATTTATAAATTACTCATTAATTTTAAATTTTAATATAATGTTTTACTTAGAATAATATTTCTTACAAATATTTTACATCATTTATTAAGTTAGAAAATTTGATTTATATAATTATTTATTATTACAAATACTATACTAAGAATTAAACTATTACTATTACAATCCTTATTATTTCACAAAACTAGATTTAAAAGTAGAATAGTTAGACAAACCTCTATTTAAATCTTAAAATTTAATTTAATTTTATAAACAGGCAAAGATTTATAATTCCTGTTACAGACTTTTATTTATTTAATTTACATTCCAATTCCAATTTTTTAATTAAAACTATTTAAAAAAATATTACTTTTTTAATATTTTCTTAAAAATTAATTAAATCCCGTATCCTTATTTTATCTTAAGGCACTATAACTTTTTTTACTTGATGATTAAATAGTCTAATATTATAATGAATTAGTGAATTTTTGAATAACTTCTTCTTTTTAATGATTTTTAATATGAATAGGATTTCTATTAGTATCTTTGATTCTTTAATAAAAAATTTTCCTTAAATTATAATGCATATTCTTTTCCAATTCATCCATTCTACAATTTTCTATATGAAATTTTTATTAAGAAGGGCTATTAAAAGCCATACTAATATTATTAATTTAACAATCATTTTTTTAGACATTTAATTTTTTTTCATTTATATCAATTGTTTTTTCAAAAAGCGGATAATTTTTTTTATTAATTAGACTCTATTTTATTACTGGTTTGCTTTCTGAAAATTTTTGATTATAAAATATGATACTTTAATATTACTTTTAATTTTATAAATGCTTTTATGATCTTTATATTTATGGTTTCTAACTGAAAATATAATTTTTAAATAAATCCATACTTATTTATATTTATTTTATTTATTTCTGAAATTCAATTACTTAATATTTGGTTCTTTTATCTATTTTTTCCTTAGCTTCTGGCTCAACGTATATCTCATTTAAAAAATCACTTTTGTTTATTTAATAAAGTTCTCCAAATTAACTAATACATAAAACATTGTATTCTCTTAAATTATCATTTATTAATTCTTTTTGTCCAAAAATTTCTTTTTTGCCTAAAATTAATATCTTTTTTGTTATTAAAGTTTGAATTATTTTGTTAAATATATAATTAAATTTTTACTTAAATAGTTTTTTTTTCTATTGCTGATTATTAAGAAATATATTTAAATTTTAATCTTAGTCTTAATTTTAATTGTAAGAATAATATTAATTTTTATTATAATAATAATATTCAATCTATTTTATTTTAAAAAACTTTTTAAAAATATATAAAATTTTTGTTACTGCGAATTCTCCATTTTTAATAATATAAAAATAATTAGCAACATCATTTTATTTATAAACATATTAATTTAAGGCATAAGATTATACTTAAGAATTAAAATATAATTTTTTTAATTTATTTAAAGAAAAGCAATTAAAATATTAAATATTACTAATATATTCTATAAAATTTATAGACTTATCATCTTCTATTTTCTATAAAACATCTACATAATCCTAATAACTTAAAACAGCCAAATGACATTCTTCTTCACAAATTGCAATTTAATTTCTATTCTATATTTTTATAAATATTTAATAATTTAACATAAAATAATAAAAATTAAAAATTAAAAAAATACCTGTTAAATTTTTTTATCATATTCACCAAAAGATTGACCTTAACATAGAGTTTGTATTTTAAGATATTTATAAATATTTCAACTATTTTTTTTATCATTAACATGGTTTTCTGACAAATTTAAAATTGTTTTAATATCGTAACAAATAGAAACTTTTCCTTATATAATAAGATATAGATTAGAAGAATAATCGCCTTTTTAAAAAATATATAAAAAATTATTTAAATTCTTACCTTGTTAGTAAATTATTTAACCCTTTTTAAAATGCATGTGATATAATTAGTTACAACATTATTTATGTATATGTTATTTATCAAAGTATTATTAAAAGTATTATAAATTAGAAGTAAATTTCATTAAAATAAATAACTCATATAAACTTCTTTATTTTTTTTATAAAATATGGAAAGCTTTCTTTTTTTAATGAATAATTTATTGATTATATTTAAAAAATATAATAGTTCAAAATTATATTATTAAATAAATCAAAATATATTAGTTTAATCTACATGGTTTTCAAAGTTTTACATATTTTCTTAATTCATTTATTTGAAAATTTTAATATAAAAAAAATATTTAATTATAACAAAAAATAATTAAAAAAAATTAAATATTTAAAAAAAAAATATAAATATTTATATATAATATAATATTTTATATGAAAATTACTAATTAAATTTTTTGTTTATATTTATTTCTAAAATATAAAATGTTAAGAATTTTCTATATTTATTTTTATAATTTTTTTTTTAATATTATTAATTATTATAAATTATTAAGCATTCTTTTAAATATATTTATAATAAAAACAAGTGTTTAATAGCTTATTATGATATATTTTCAAAAAATAAAGTATTAAAATATATTTTAAAAATATGTTTTTGTATTTATTTATTAAAGTTTATTTTAAATAAACAATTTAATAATATTAAAAATAATTCAAAATTAAAAAAGTATTAGAAAAGAAAAATTATGTAATATATATTAAAAAAAATTAAATAAATAATTTAACATAAAATAAAATTTAGTAATAAAAGTTTATAATATTTAAATTTTATTAAAAAAAAGATAAAAGATAAAAGATAAAAAATAAAATATAGATATTATATTTAATTAAAAAAGATAATGTTTAATAATAAAATATAAATATAATAAATTATATAAAATATTTATTTGTAAAAAAATATAAAAATAAATAAATAATTATGTTAAACAAAATAATAAAAAAATGTTAAAAAATAAGAAAAAAATAAATATTTAATTTATTCTATTAATTTATTATTATATTTATATTATAATTATTATAATAATTGTTATAATTATTATTATTAATATTATTATTATTATAGTTGTTTCTTTATTATATTATATTTTTTTTAATTTGATACTATTTATTATATATTTTTAACTTTTTTAATATTATAAAATATATTATTATTATAATAAATATTATTTTTTTTTATTTTTATTTTTATTTTTTTTTAATTTTTATTTTATTATTTTATATATTTTTTAACATTTTTTTTATTTATATTTATATTTATTTTTTATTAATAATTTGTATATATAAATTAAATTTTTTATATTTTATAATTATTTATTCCTATAAATATGTTTATATAATATTAATCATTTAATCAAATTTTATATAGTTATTTTAATATATATAAAACTTTTAATTCTATTTATATTATATTTTACATTTGCTTATATATTTAAAAATATAAATATAAATTTAAAAAGTATTTATTAAAAGATATAAGAAATATAGACATAAATATATATATTTAAATATATATAAATATATTTATATTTATATATATATATTTTATATTATTATATTTTATTTTAATTTATTTATATCATTTAATATTATTTTCATACTTATAATATATACATTCTAATTATATATAATAATAAATTTAAAAATATTCATTTATTTAGTTATTTTAGCTTGTTTAAATTAAATATTATATCAAATATATTAAATAATTCAGTTATGATATATATATATCAATTATACTAAATATTTTTTATGATATATTTTTTTTATTATTTATTTGACAAAATATATTAAATATTTTAAATTTTTATCTTCTTTATACTCTATATATTTTTTTTATTATTTATATTATATTATTTATCATTTATTATATCTTAAATATTTTTTTTTTATATAATACATTAAATATATACATATATATACATATATATATATTTATATAAATTTTTATTTTAAATTATAATGAATTTTTTCATTTATTTTTTATAAGATTAGAAAAATATAATAATTAATATCTAAATATATATTTACGCTTGATTAAATATAAAAAGAATAAAAATTATGGAAAAAAAAAATTAATTTATATCAAATATAAAATAAAAAAAAAAGTAATATCTATATTTAATAATTTATTTCAATATCTATATAATATTTTTTAACAATTTTTATTTAATTTTTTTGTTAATTGTTATAAATATTCAGTCTTTAGATAAAAACAATTTAAAAATGAATTGTTTCTTTAATTTAGTTAATAAGATTATAAAGAAATTTAAATAAAAAATTAAT